ACGAACACATTTTTTGAGCTTGAAATATAAACGAGCCTCGTTTACACCCCTAGATGGAACCCTTTGGGAGTGAGTTTTGTATTTTTTTTGGTTCTTTAGATGCGGCGATCCGTCTCCACTCCACTATTTGTACTTTTATTTCAATGAATATATAGGGATCTGTATAATGCTCCTTCCCTATATATATATATGTATATTGGCATTTCAATTTGGCCTTTTGTATTTAATTTTTGGTTTCTGTAATTTTTTTGCCTTTATGTTTTAGATTCGACTTGTGTTAAGAAAGGCAAAGGTAGAACTAGGAAGACTTGGGCTTATTGTTATAAAAAATGATCTTAATTACTAAATGAAAATATGACACTAAATAGGACGCACTAAATAGGATGCAATGGAGAAAAAAGATTCATGTAGCCGACCCCACGTAGTGGGATTAAGACTTTGTTGTTGTAATTTTTTGCCGTTGCATCTTCTAGTTGTTAATCTTCTGAAGATATGATAACATTTTTTTTTCTGTCAGAACATTTTGAAGTTGGCGCCAGTTTTTTATTTTTTTAGTTTTTTTATTGTTTTACTATTTAATTTAATTTATTTATTTATTTATCTTTGGTGCCAGTGTTCAGTTAGGTTGTGTTAGGAAATTTTAAATATTGGATGTTAAACAAATATAGTTTTACATGACTTCAGGATTTTTTGTTGGTTCTAACTGATATTGCTTGCACGTTTTTTTTTTTTTTTTCGCTAATTAGAACTTTAATCTTCGGCAATATATCCACTCTCTTTGGAATTAGAAATATGATATAGTAATGGGCATTTCTAATGACATCTATGCAGTTTGTCTATTTACTTATTACTTATTTTCTTATACTTTGCATTTTCTATTTACTTATTACTTGTAGAAAATGATTTACCTGAAACTTGACTATCTATGAAGCCAACCCTCAACCCAAAACATGAACTCCAAACCTTCATTTTTGCTTCTACCATGAGCAACTCATTGAGATGTCAATGGAAGTGATTGTATTGGTTGGAGTTTACTGTGCACTTCGATATTTGGACGTTCATATTATGAAAAAACGGCAACTAGATGCTAGTTTTGTTAATAGCCAAATTTTAGGTGCTAAACAAGAAATATTATTTCTTATTTTATTGATTTTGGGATGGCACCCTTTACTTCACATTCAATTTTTTTATCATCATGAGACGTCAGTGAAAGTGAAAATATGGGTTGGAGTTTATTTTGTTCTTCAATATTTGGACGTTCATACTATGAAAAAAGGTAACTAGATGTTAGTTTTGTAAAAAGCCAAATTTTGGGTGCTAAACAAGAAATAACCCCTTTATTATTTTTACGTTATTCATTTTGAAATTCAACCTTACTTCATGTTTTTCGAAAAGTAAAATAATGATAATCTATTCATATTTTTATGGACCAAGTTTGGCCATAAAAAGCTTGTCTGTTATGGGCCAAGTTTGGCCTCCTTAATTTTTTCAGTGCTATTTCATTTTATCCCCAGAGATTGCAAAAGAAATGCCGACCGGTGCACTGCTTGCTCTATAGGATGGTTTTGTCTTAGAAGGTGTACATGAGAACCCTTCTTTTTTGGTTTTTTTTTAGAGATGAGGAGGCTCGTTTCTTACATACATACCTCCATACCTACCCACTTCTTGTACGTTTTGATCTTACTTTAATGCAAAATGCAACCTTTCAAAGAATTAAATATTTATAGCTATGATGTCTCCCATGTAGGAAACTTGAGTTATGATGATGATACTTTTTTTCCTTGTAATTACTCATAATTTTTCTCCATTTGCAATAACTATGTTATCTGAATTTTGTTCATAGTTCTGCGGACCTTTTTCTTTTAATGAATTAGATGACATCAATGTGAATATTTGCTTTGCCTTGTTGATTTGAGCTGTGGAGCATATTTGTATTCATTCCTTATTCCTTATCAAGTTACTTGAATAAATATTTTTTTTTTTGCAGATATTTGCACGAGGTCTGCTCCCCATATATTGTCCATAAGAATATAAAGTCGCCGAACATTTTGCTTGATATTGAGCTTAATTCCCACTTATCTGACTGTGGCTTAGCGTCCTTCTATCAGGTGTTTATATTTTTGTGTTTCTACTATGCAGGAAAACTTGGAATGGAAAATTATCATAAATGATTTGTATTTTTTTTAATCAGGAAACGAGCAAGAATTTGGGTCCAGGTTATCAACCTCCTGAGTACAATAAGCCATCTGATTATACCATGAAGAGTGATATATATTGCTTTGGTGTGGTCATGTTGGAACTATTGACAGGCCGAAAGCCTTTTGACAGGTACTATATTGTAAAAAAAAGAAAAAGGAGAAAGTAATCCACCTCTTCTTAGTGGCTCATTTTAGTCTCGGAGTCTATAAAAGTGTCAATTTAAGAAAATGTGCAGAATAATCCCATTTAAATAGTCAGTGGCAATTTTGGCACTTTACTCAATAAAAAGTATGGCATATCACTACGCATAGCGCTTTTCTTTGATTATAAATTATTAGTTTTGGGATATTTCATCTAGAGAATCTACCGTATGATTCAATTTCCAAATTCTGTAAGCCGATACATTAATGCTTTGCCTCATGTGAAAAGCCAATTTCGGCATCTTGTCCATTTAAGAAAGTGTTCAGAAAAATCACATTTTTGTATTTCAGTTTAGCTGAGACTTCGTACATTTCAAAAATCATGAAATCTGATTTTACTTTTTGGATACTTGTCATGCTGGGAAAACTGATAAATCTGATTCAATTAGGGAGAGGAAAAAAGAATAGAAAATATAATGATAAATGCACAAAATACACCAATAATTTTATCTAGGTTCAATCATTATATATTTCATTGTGGTTTATTGTGGGGTTTTTAATGATCCTTACGTACAGACAATGCCTCTCATTTTATAAATAAATTGGCATCTGAAATGCAGTAGAATCTTCAAAATAATTTAAATGAATCACTCCCAAATAATGGATGTCTTCTGGGGGCACCATGCGACGAAGTTTGCGTATTCCGTTTCCCTTCATAAGGCAAAAAATAATTTTTGCTTCTAGTTATGTTTTTTTCATCTTTCGACGTTTCGTCAACCATTAATTATAAAACGTAGATGTTAGCAAAGCATCCAATATTTTCAATTAATTTCTATGTATTTACACATCGAACACCTAAGCTTCAATCTTTATATATATGCAAGCTTACCTATGCAAGAAAATGTGCATTTCACTTTTAAAAGTTAAAATATGTTGTTTTTGATGTGATATGAAAGATTTGGGGGGTATACATGTAAAAAGTATAGTTTAGGTGTTAGATATGCAAATACATTGGAATTGGGTGGTATGCATGTAAATTCCGCATCCTTTTGTTTTGTTTTTTTTTTAAATTTTTTAATATTTTATTTATTTATTTATTTATTTTGTGGTGCATATAACTTATTGTGCTGCATTTTCAGTTCCAAACCAAGATCTGAACAGTCTTTGGTTCGATGGGCGATGCCGCAGCTTCATGACGATGATGCATTGGCCCAGATGGCAGATCCAGCTCTTCGCGGCCTTTACTCTCCAAAATCTTTATCTCGATTTGCTGATGTTATTGCTCTCTGTGTCCAGGTAAATTTTTTGTTATTTTTGTTTATATCTTCATCTCCTGATTCAGTTCTGGCTAGGGAGATTTACGTGTATACCACTCAATTCCTATGTTTTTACATACCTAACGCCTAAACTTCAATTTTTACACGCATGACACCTTACCCATGCATGAAAAGGTTTATTTCAATTTTTAAAAGTTAAAATGATGGTATTTTTCATGTGATATGAAAATTCTGATTGGTATAAATATAAAAAGTAAAGTTTAGGAATTGAGTGGTATATATATAAATACCCCTTATGTTTATATGTCTAGCACTGATCAGTTATTGGTTTAATTTCCTGTTACTAGAGGTAAGTACTCTCTTGAAATTTTAGACCTGATTTTTCTTGGGGAAATTTACATACGTAACATAATTTTTATGCATTTACATATCTCTCATGTAAACTTTCATTTTTAAGTATAGTATATCTTTGTTACGAAGTTTTTTAACATCATAATTCAGTACTCTTTGGCTCTTCTATATATTTCAAATCAGGTTGTATATTCACTAAATCTGCAATAACTCAATTTGATTCGTCAGTAATGTACTTCTAAATGAAGAAATATGAAAAAAATTGTACTCTACATGTGAGCTGATAGAGCCAATCTGTAAGCTTCCTTTCTAATCTTTTCCACAATTTCATACAAACCTGTATATCTTGGATTCTATTTTCTTGTCTTTTCAAAGTGCTACATACCCTTTAATGGACTGGCTTTGATAAAAATAAATTATCCAACCTTCAATTCAACCCCATAGTCCGTTCCAACCACCTACCAGCACTATCGGGGAATTTAGCCAAACAAATGGGCAGTCTTTTTATCATTTCTTCCCCCAATTGAAGAACAAGCCCTTGCAGTCTTCCTAGCAGAGCATTAGTTCCAGATTATTCTCCCCTTAACATGGACCGATGAAGAAGTCTTGACAGTCAAGGCCGGATTTTCAAGGTTGAAAATTGACTTCGTTGGGCGATTCAGTGTGTGCTTGTTTAAAAGTCTATTTGGCTTTTTCAGTAATAATATTTGTGCTCCTATTATTATTTGGGTTAACTTCAGTATCGTCTATTATCTTCACTTCTTCAGGCACGAGGTGAGTTCTCCTTTGCTTCGATGTTTTCTACCTCACACAATAGTGCTGCCCATCTCCTTCCCTTTCTTCTTCGTACATAAGCTTTTCTTCTTCTTCTTCTTCAAGCTAACCATAGTTATTTCTCTCTCTCTTGCCTCTCTATTTCTTTATTTCTTTGTTCCTGGGGGGCCGATTGTCTTCTTAACACATAACCGTCGAGACAGTTAATTTGAACTGACTTACTAATTAAGTTTTTTTTTTTTCAGTCATTACAAGTTCTACTATTGACAAACCCTAAGGATTATATTTTATTATTTGCAGCCGGAACCCGAATTCCGTCCACCAATTTCTGCAGTCGTGCAAGCCCTTGTTCTCTGCGTGCAGAGATCGAGCATCCGTAAGAAGATTGGTGGTGAACTCAGCACTTCTCGTCGGAGCGATGACTCTGAGTATTACTTCTAAGGATCTATAAGTTCTCTTACTGATAATATTCAGGTTCTTTGAGACACTGAAGCCATATAAGTGCAGAAAACCTGAACAGTTTATTCTTTTCGAGAATTTCTTCGTCAAATTTTGCCAATTTTCAGGTAAATTAAGACGAGAAAAACCATTTTGAAGCAGAAATCAAACGACGACTAGATTCTCGGCGAAATCTCCTGTTGCCAGCTTCTAAATTTGTATTGATTAGGAGTCCATGATCTGTACTAGGCACAGGCAACATTCCCTTAAAAAGGCATGATTGCTCGCAGACTTAGGATTTATAACTTGGTTTATATGCTCTGAAAAATGAGTTAAAACAGGCTTTTGTGCATTGAAATTTATCACCATTTCTGCTCATGCATATTATTGTTTTCAAGAATCTATTCTGTTTAGGAAGATTCGCATACTAATGAATTCTTATGTATTTACATATCTAACACCCGAGTTTTAATGTATTTCACCTCACCTCTACATGAAACGTGTATTTCTTGTTTTAAAACTTAAAAATGATACTCGATGGATTAAGCTTTTTAATTTTTTTTTTTTTTTTTGAAACTTAAAAACCACCTTCAAGTTTTGGGAAAATTATTACATACGGAGAGCATATGCAGAGTTGCGTAAGCTCTCCGATCACAGTCGTCCATCAACTCATCCAAACAAAAGCTTGTATGACAGTGTATCCCATTTTTATCAATTAAAAAAAAAAATTAAAAAGGATGGCTGTGATTGGAGAGGCCTGCAATGTAATAATTTTCCCAAGTTTTGGGGTATAGATTTTTTACTATTCTTATTATTTTCTTTTTTAAAAGTCTAAACTTGGAACAAGGATTAGTTGAAACACCTTAGGATGGTATATCATAATTCAAATTTTAATATTTTGATATTATGCTACAAACCTTGGTTACGTTGTTTAGCTAAAATTCGAAGCTTTCAAACATAGTTTCTAAAATCACTCTAAATTATAAACTGATGTGAATTTGTGAAAGTGTGTGTGGATAATGGCTGAGGAAATTTGAATATGATGCTCTTCTTTTCATATTTTATAATCCTCACCAATCTAAAAAGAAAATTATTACCTTAATAATTGGAAACTTTGTGTATCACATATTGTATAGTTTAAGTGAGCCTCTCACATAATATTTTTATTTTTAAATAACACTTCATTTAGCTGTCTTAAAGTTTATGTTTGTGGCATTAATTTAGAACACTATTAGAAAATGTTCATAATAAAATGTTTTAAATTAAAATATTATATATTGAATTGATAAAAAAAATAGTATTATTATATTATTTAAATTTTTGTGAAATGATTTTAATATTTATATCTTCTAATTCAACCATTGAGCCATTAATTTATTTAGGAAATAACAACTTAACATTTTTAAACAAATCATCAAATCTGCTCATTGCTCGTTTCATGATCAAATCATTGAAAAGAAGGAAAAAAAAAAGACATTGAGATTTTATTGTTCTTAGAAACTTGAATGGCATTTTTATAAATAAAAATAAATAAATTGGTGTGATATTTATAACAATAAAACCATAATTCTAAAAATCTCTGAATGAATTTTAATGAGTTTTTCATAAAAATCCATCAATATGAGCTGGAAATTATAGGTGTGGAGAAGACATACTTAGAATACATAATTTATGGATGCAATATTAAAAAACAAGCAGTCAATTAATATTTTGCAGAATTCAGTGCGGTCCAAAGCCATTAAAAGATAAAGGTTGTCATTAACAGACCAATATACTTTTACATACCTCATATTGCAAATTGTAAGAAAAATACTCTTTAAACCTTTGCATTCTTTCCCATCTTCATGGTTTCACTGGGACCCCTCGGCAGAGGAATTTTCCTGTAAGTTAATGACAAGTGTCATTTAAAAAAATTATTAACAATAAAAATGTTTATATTTGTTCGACATCAAAAGTGAAATTTTTTTTTTATGAATGGTCGGAGGCTATTATACGACCCCCCGACCTCCCTCATGTGCCTAACTATTTCGAGGACCCCCCTCACTATAGGCAAACTGGTCAGACGGGGTTCAAACCTGTGACCCAAGGGAACTTACGACTTTCAAAGCGACTGCATATATATTTGGGGCTGAAATAGTTCTTGGTGGGGACTATTAAATTGACACTTTTATAGGCTCTAGGACTATTATGAACCACCTGCGAAGGAAAAATATTACCGGTGGATGGGTATACTCAAGGTCTACACCCCGAATCCGCAAGTGCGGATGACCTCACTTAATTTCTCTCCCATTTTCCTCTTATGTAATATATTGCTTTATTATTGTGCCCGATTCAAAAGTAAGAAAATATTTAGTTTGAGCCGAGATGCATTATAATTTAGTTAAATGGCATATCATATGTTGCAACTTCAATATACACCTTGAACTAAGCTAAAAAGTTGCAGTGCAAGAAATACCTGCTTTCAGCCTCACCCCAAAGTTTGTTCAACTTCACTGCAAACTGAGCTATAGACATTCTGTCTTTATGATCAATATACTCAGCATCTGCCATGCCCTTCACTGCACACAAAAACTCCATCTGTGCATTTTTAGAAAGAAAAGGCTGGTTTGGCCCCCGGAAACGACTCAAATCAAGCACCTAAAAGATTAAAAATCAGTCACCATGGAAACACAATTATAAATAATGTTGCGCAAAGAAAGCTTAGGAACACAATCACACATTCTTGCATGACTAATAGTAGTTACGAAAGGATGTAATAAGATTAAAATCTCAAAATAATCCTCAAATTATTCGTTTGTGGCCAAGTTAGTCCCGAGTATCATATTTCTCCAATTTAATCCCTAAATTATATAAAATTTATGCTAAACAGTCCCACATTGAGTAGTGTCAAAATAATTCCCTATTTGTATATATGGAGTCATTTTAATCCTAGAGTTTATAAAAATGTAAAATTAGTCCTCATACTCGTCTAAAAAGGGTTAAAATAGTCCGCAGTGGAAACTATTTCAACTCAAATTATAAGAGTCTGCAGATTAAATTGACACTTTTGTATATTGTGAGATAAAAAAGACCTCCTATAAATAGTTACGGGATAATTTTGACATTTTTCACTATAGGAAATAGTGATACAAATATAAGCCTAATTTAGTCCCTCAGGGACCTTCCTGGATTATTTTGTAGAGCCGAGGGACAAAACTTAGAGAAATTGGTCACATACGAATGATAAAGGTATTATTTTGTTGTCTAACCTTCACATAATATGTACACATGTGAGCCATATAAAAGTTGTACTAGTTAAACTAAGATGACTAATTTTAAAAAACTTACTTGTTGCAACCAAGGAATCATGGAGTGCACGAAACTGCAATTTATAAACTTCCTACTTAAAATCCCAAGAACTTTGGTGGCTACCTCAGGACTTAAACTTTCCAGAATAGGCCCTGTTCTGTTCATAAGATCAAGCAGGTTAACTTCGTCACCGGACAACAAAACCTCCTTATATGCAGATTCCACGTCCCCAGAACACAAATAATCATTTATCATTCTCCAGTCAACGGCTACGTTCTCATAGTTTTCTTCCTTGGAATAAACACTGGAAGTTAGAGCAGAAATCAGATCCTCTTTTTCTTTCACCTTTTTCCTCAGCTTTATGGTTGGATCATGCAATAAATCTAAACCGTCTTTCGTCGAGCTGATCAATGCAGTTCTAGATGATAATTTGTCTTTCAATAATTTAACTCTGGTTGAAGAAAGGTTGGATTGAGGCCTGTATTGAGATGCAGGCCTGTGTGTGCATGTAGAAAGCCTTGGGGAAGAACAAGAAGATTCAATTTGATTTTCTTTCAAATTGTTAAGACCTTCAAGATTAAAGTTGCTTCCTTTCAGAGCAAAGGTTTGACCCATTTCATCAACAGCACCTTCTAGGCTTTCGATCTTCAAGTGCAATGTTGAGAGTTTAGATGTGGTACTTCCCATGAAAACCTGGAGGTTGGGATGGTAAAATTAGCAGACCAGAATTAATGGATCATAAGGAAAGCTATAAGATGTAGTTTCAAAAGTTATCATTTAAAAACAGGGCATTTACATACATATCATCAAATTTCTATATATTTGCATATCCAACATCTAATGTTTGCTTTTTACATTTATCACGCCAAATATAGCATTATTTTAACTTTTAAAAAGTGATTTTCATGCATAGGTAAGATGGAATGTATGTAAAAATTGAAGTTCAGGTGTTAGATGGGTAAATACATAGGAATTGAGTGATATGTATTTAAATCTTCCTTTAAAAAAATTGTCAATGTAATTGTGTGAGAACAAAAAAAACAACTCGTCCATTCCACCATAAGCGTGGGGAATAAGAAAAAATACATATATAATTAATCTAGAAAGGTAACTGTGTATAAAAGATAGGATTAACTTCAAGTTGTACTAATATACAAAAGAAAATTCAATTGAATAGTTAGAGAATTTAAATAACCAGTTATTTAATAAAGTTCATGAGCTAAATTCTTTTGTAAGAATGGTCTACGCATGTTGTGTTGTGTTATGAAGTACTACGTTTTATAGATTAAAGTCAGGGACGTAACGGTTAATCACTCTTAAAACTACTCTTTAAATCAGTGGAGTTCGAACTTTTTAAGTAAAAAAGGCCGTAGCATTGATGCATGTCAGTTGAATGACCAAAATGAATACTACTATAAAGTTCGTAGAAATTCTAATAATATAAAATCAATAACACATGATTTAATAATTAATCTGTTAATCGCTTAACATAGAGATGCATGGTATTCTCATAGTTTAATTTAATATTCCAATCCTAAATTAATAACTATTTAGTACAAGAGTTAATGTTAAGTAAAGTACCATGAATATAATATTTTATTGTCCTAGTATTAGTTAGATTAATTTATCTCTTAATAACTCTATAAATCTATTCAATATTAATCAATCTATGACTAGTTAGATTAATTTATAATCTTAAGTATTAACCAATAACAAATTTAGCTTATTTATTACAAATTTATAATCCTCTATTGCACCCAATTTTTCTAGGTATTTGTCCGAGTCTTCAATTACAGTCGTGTGTGATGTTTTGATGAAGGCTTACAATTTCTCTCTTTTTTGTTACAAATTTGAATTGTGGAACAAAAATCGAAGTTTAAATTTGAAGTGGACTGGAAAAAAATTGAGTATCTTATGCACCCAAACTGCTAAGCTAAAGAATTGAAGTTTATGAGTAGAAATCTAAGACATAATTGAAAACTTTTTATTAAATTAAATTTTAACTTACTAATTTTAAATATTGTGGACAAGTTTTATATGTGATTCATTTGAATGTAGTCTAGTACCTGATTCTGATAGAAATAATCTCTTTATATAGACGTGAGACTTAATCTCTATAATAAATCCTTCCCTTAATCAAATGTCTTTTAAATATACTGCTATTGGTTTTCTTCTAATCAAGATTTTGCTCCTAATTTGTACCATCATGTCATCTTTCTAAGCAATGTTCAAAATTGTATGAGCATTGAGACGTTATCTTTTGTGAAGCAAGATTTAAGCTTCAAGATGAATTGAGGCAGATACCAGAGTTAACCCAAATCACAATAAAAAAATCAAATATTATTATTGAAAATAAATAGACAGTTACACTAATAGACACAAACAAACTCAACTAAAACATATCCCAAGATGGTAATAGGTGAAAGAGGTTGGGAGTTGGCTTTTGGGTGCGCTAGGAACAATTTAATGATGGTGTGACTGGTAGTAGGATGGTTGTAGGGAGGAGAAAGTGCCAACTGGGTTCCGAAAGGTGAGGGGAAAAGGGACGGTTGGATGGTGACGGAAGTAACAACCGACTGTTGGAGTTGTGGTAGGGATAGGGTTGATGGTAGCAAGAAGGGGGAGGAGAGTGTCGGTCAATGGCAAGGAGAAGGTTGTTGGTTGTGGACTCCGATGGGTAGGTTGCAGGTGGTTGGGATAGTGATCGGTTGGCAGGGAAGTGATTTGGAATGGCTAGTTGCCAAAAGAGCAGCAATGAGGGATGGCAGCAAGGTGGGAGGAGGCTGGGTGGTAGGCGGCTACAGAAAAACAACAAGGAGTCTATTTTTCGGGTGATTGTAATGAATACAATGATGGTGGCAGCAGAGGAAAGGTTGTGGGGGAGTGGGAAGGTCAAGGATAATCACCACCTCGAACGAGACACAATCGGAGCACCATTCATCATCGGATACAACTCTAGAAGGAAGACTTGGATGCCAACGACTATCCTTACAGAAAACACGAAGAAAAACTGCCAAAGAACACGAAAATAACATACTTGTATACCTAGGGTAAAAAGGAGTGGAACCTGGTCCAAATAGGAGGGAAGCCCTCACCTGGAAGAACTAGTCGGTCATTCTTTTGCCTAGATTGAACTGGTTTGGGGAAAAGATCATAGCATTTTCCGCGTCAGGGGCATGGACGCCCCGTGTCAGTCTTCGAGGGTTGGTGGAGCTTTGATCTCATTCGTGGAAGCTTCTGCCTGTAGGTTGAAAGCGATGGAGTTGTTGTGACCTCCTAGGGCTGAAGGATCTTTGAGTGGGATGGGGAGGTTCCAGATGATTGGGACAGCGATTAGGTAGCAGAGAAGTGGTTTAGGAGGGGTTGTTGAAAGGGCGATGGTGTGGGATGGGGGCAAGGTGGGAGGACGTGGGGTGGTAAGCAACTATAGAAAAACAATGAGGTTGCAACTTGTTACAAGTAGGAAGTTGGTCGTAGTTGTTGTGGAAAGAAAGGTCCGACAAGTAACTGTTAAAGTAGAGGAGTCCACTGTTGTTGTTGTGGCAGGAGAGAGGTCTGACGGCTTTTGATGAAGCGACTACTGTTGCTAGACTAAGTCTGGTGGCAACAAGGTGAACAACGAAGGGCATGCATAAAAAAAGGAATAGGGTTGCAGGATAGATCTAACACCAACTGAGGGTATTCTAGCAGCTGGTGGCAAAAGGGTTGGCAAAAATCCCTGTGCAACCACAATCTGC